AAAAAACCAAGTTTCCTCATATTTACGCACTTTAAGAAAATTGGAGTTTCGCACTTCTTTGCGGATTTTTTTCTTTGAAAGATAAGTTCTACTCAAAAAATTTATATTCTAATTCTCATTGAAGTGCTCTTCCCGGGATTACCAAATACTGGACAAAAATCTGTTTGCACCATTAGTAAAAACCGCAAAAACGACCGAACTTATTTATTAGCCAACCTAATAGTACTGTATCACATTTTATTGCTGTTAACACCAGCCCTTGTAACCGCGAATTTGCCGGGTTACCGGTCACAACGCCACTATGTTATCAACACTTCCAATACCGCGATTTTCAGGTTACCTTTCATACCATTACTGTTACTATCAGCACTTTTGTTACCGCGATTTTTACCGCAGTTACGATTATATCTGCCGTTATTGTCGTATTCTCGCTACAATTATGTTTGTCGATATTTTAATTGTGATTGTGATAATGTTGTGATTGCAATTGTTGTAATTGTCACCGATTTACTGCTGTTCCCGTCATACGCTGTCATCGCCATCATCCTTTTGCCGCATCCGTGATCGTTCATGTCGGTAATGGTATCTACCTGTTTGCTGTTAAGAATATCCGCTATTATAGCTTGTACCACTACAAGTTCAATAACAAATCTCTGCGCGTTGTGAGAGAGGCTATGAGAATGATCAATAACAAATTGGCTACAACGATGCATAATTTTGTGACTACGTTTTTTGAAAATATTTTTTTTTGAATCAGTGCTTTACGTGATTGGATAATATCTTTAAGATTGAGTGAAGGTGCAAAATTCGATGCGTTTTGTCATTCAGCCATCGCATACTTCAGTGATTTCACTTGCTGAGAGCTGTCGCTCGAGTAGGCGAAGTAGGGAATCAGCGGTTATGATGTGAGGCAAAGCCTTCCTTCTGACTTTCTATCACCAGATGTCACAGCAAGAGACTGCATTTCGACATCTCTGTGCCTTAGGGAAATCCGGATAATACCTGATTTTGTATGCTGGATGGGAGACTGGCTGAGCCTCTGCTCAAGTATATCTCATGTGATTCATTTGTGGACGAAATTCCAATATTCTTATCCACCGCCGATTACTGAGTAGTACTCTGATAGAGTACGATAATGTGCAGGAGGTCAGAATGCGCTCGAACACGGTCATTTCCCCTCTTCCTACCCAACAACGATGATGTGCTTGTTGCGACTGAGCTAATCATACTAGTTCAAATTTCTGTGTTTCAGAAATTTCAGATCAGTCACCTATGAGTAAAATCATGAATTATAACCAAAATGCTCATTATGAGTGTTGTTTTTGACAGAAATCCTTCATAACCTCTTTATGAAGTGAAAATTAATCGGAAGGTTGCGAATGCTGGGCGTACTTTTGAATAATGTGGCCATAGTTTTAAGCCCTTTTCTTTTTCTGATGTTAGCAAAACTTTTAACGCTGTAAGCTGCTCTGGCCTTCTCTAGGTTAGAAGCGTGAATAAGATCTAAGTCCATTGAATGTTATGCTTACTAGTTTGCAGTACAAAGTCGTCATAATATGATTTATAGACAAATCACATAGAACCACAGAATAAACAGCAGAGGTTGATGCATGGACATCTGGGATGAGCGTACAGCTCCGCAGCTGGAATTCGGGACTTCTCACTTCTTCCTCTCCTCGCATCCTCTTGTACGCTGCTCGGCGCGTATCAGCTCCGCTTCATCGCCCGCTGCATTCTATAAACATCTACTTAAGTAGAGGAACTCTTACACCTTCCCATTTTACCAAAAGCCCTAAAGGGACTTTCAAGATGTTTGTCTGCCATCAACTTAAATGCTTACTTCCTGTGTTCACGCCCGAAAATAGTGGCTCGTCGACGATATCATGGCGTTTTGGCTTTGCGCCCAATCCGGGACCGTCTTCCAGAGGCACCTTCTCCAGGGATTCTTGATGGCCCAACAGAAATTGGCCGTGTCTGCATCTGGTCAGGGCTACTTTCATACTTCGTGGGTCTTCTAGAAAGTCAGCTCCTTTCGGATTGAAGTGCTCTTCTTTGTTAACACGATCACGGCATTTTTTCTCTTCCCTGACGGTATCAACAATGGAAATTTTCGCACCGGTTCTCATGACGAAATCCTCCAGACGTCTGTACTGGTCCCCTAAAAAGTAATGATGACAATATTAATCGACGCCACTCCTTTCCTTTAGGGTAACCAGAAACTCGCATA